GTGTTTTTTTTTCCAGTGCTTTGCGCTTCTTTGGCATTTGTGGTTTTGTGGCAGAATTGGGCGGGTGCTCTCACCCCCTCCAACAACTTTCAAGCTTTTGCGGCACTTTTCACATTGCTTTTTTCCGGATTGAAGATTGAAGATTCTCGAAAAGTATTCTGAGCAATCTTTGGTATTGAATCTTCAATCCAATGGTAAATAACTTTCTAGTCAATACTTGCGGGGCACGGATTGACGACTGTGTTCTGTGCAATCTTCAATTTTGAATCTTCAATCCAGCGGTAAAGAAATACTTTCAAGTATTTAGAACACCTTAGAAGTTTTCGAGGTTGGCCCGGATTGAAAATTATCGGACAAGTTAGCTGTGCAATCCTCAATCTTCAATCTTCGATCAAGTGGTAAACTACGGTCAAATGAATAGGACAAACTGTAAAGTCTCCTTTTGGCTTTTGTTCCGTATAGGCTATGCTAATGTTGAGCCTTTCTGGGTGAAAACCGCGGGAGCAATGCTCAAAAACACTATATATATAGAGAGATGTCACGAGCCATGCTCAAAAACAGTGTATGTTTCAGTATTTTGTCAAACTATTAACGTGGGTTTTCTTACATAGGGAGGCCAATCTTGTCGAATTCAGGAAGTGCCCAGTTTGAACCCCTTCTTTCTGAGGGGAACAATGCCAGACACTGCCAAGTTCAACCCCACACTGATGGTTTTCTGGAGTTTTTTTGCAACGCGAGGGTAGCCCTTCCCTTAGAATACGAAACCTCGGGTCGCCTCGTAGCTCTTGCGGCTGCGCTGTGGCCTGCGCAGGTGGAGCTGCCCTAATCTGTGGCTCTGCATGGGCCTTATGAGCCAAGCCCAGAGCCACTGGTTTCCCGTCTTTGGTTTTTCGTTTTTTCTCTGAGATCCCTTTTAAAGATCAGGAATCAATTGGAGCATGGATCAGGGTTGGATCGTAAAGAATCAATTGGAGCACCCAAAAAGGGGCTGAAAGAACAGGTTAGGTGCCCTTAGATGGGCCCTATGCATGGTGCACACCCATGTTGGCTCTGGGAAGAAACGGTGAAGCGACCAACAAGCAGAGAATTCGGGAAGGCAGGGATGAGGGAAGGTGTTGTAAGACAGCAATAGGTCTAATGGCCCCTCAAGGCTCTAATAGACTATTAGGCTCTGGAGGGTGTCCCCAAAAGCTTCTAAGAGCAATGGTTTTGGGGTTCCATGCAAATCACGGAAATGTAGGTGGCACTGGCATTCCTACGACATCAGTGTCTGACATTCCCTTTCGATCGGAGGTACAGGGGATCCGCCGAGGTTGTAACGTTTCCGAGAGCGCCTCGAGTCGGCGGTGGGCCCGGCAGAGTTTGTCGCCTGGGTTTAAGGCTTTTGGCGCAGGGGAAAGTCCATTAAACCCCCTGCGAAGTGCAGGTTAGGAACTGACAATCCCAACTCAATTTGCCAGGTGCGGCCACCCTTTTCAGTCACCACTGTGGATGGGCCACATCCTGCACCACTCTGAAAACATGGGACACTGTCGTTTGTTAGTATCTGCGGGGGGGGGGGGGGGGCATCACTCCGGGATTTCGTAGGTGGTGCGAAATGGATTTCGTCCTCCACAGTACAAATGATTTTGGGTAGACCCCTTTACCAGGTGATTGACTCATCCGTGTTCTGAAGCGCCCCGCTTCGACCCAGCTTACGATCGCCTTAATTCTTTGTTCTTTTGGATTCCTTCATCATCCCTCCACAAGTTGACCTTTTGCAGGGGGTCTGTTTGTATGGCCCAGTTTGGGCCAGTGAGTTGGTGTGTTCGTGTTTGAGGATTGGGAGACACGCCTGAATGTTTTAAAGCCTCGTGGGAAAAGGTCCCACTTACGATTTGGGCATCTCATGAACTCATGACCTTTGCTAGGATATCTGGAACGCGCTCCCAAACTATTTTTCATTTAAGGGTCGACTAAATATGAAACACAATCCGAACCAGCTGCGAGCCAAGATCTGGTTGAGACACGTGATCAACACATCAGGGGTGCCCTCCCAAACTATGCTACATTTTGGGATAGACTAGAATCTGAAACACAAGCCGGACAGTCCGAACATATTGTACTGGAGCGCTTCAGATGGCCAGATACAGCTCCGAGAAGGCTCTCTGTTGAATCAACCCAAACAGACACACCCACTGAAAAGGCCCTTTGGCGGGGTTCTGCGAGATGTCAAGGGAATATATGGAGATGGCCAAAAAAGGTATCTCAGCACTGCAGTACTCATTTGACCTCTCATTCCCCCTGTCTTGTCAAAGACAAAAGCAGGTCATTTAAGCGTCAAGACACTTTTTTGAAGGGGTGTCCGACTATGAACAGCGTAGTCTAGTTGGTGCCCGCGCCTGGCTTTGTTCGCGACTTTCGCAACCCAGCCAGGCTTAGCCGCACGACGGCGCTGCACAGTCGACACAAAGGTCGATCTAGTCGCGTGGCAAAGGGGGAAACGAGTCTCCCCGTACTCCATGGGGATAAGGGAGACAGGGGGCAGAACCTCCATGACAATGACCGCTAAATGGCAGAGGAAGAGAAAGGCGCGAAGAGAAGCGCCGGATGTGGTTGAACCTAAAGATATTTTTTTCAAGACATGTGCACTGAGGTTTGCCTGCTTTGGACCCTTCCTGCTGCCGTCTGGTCACGAAGGAGGCTCCCCTCTGGTAGATCCGATTCCCCCCTTGCCTCAGTCGGTCTTATTTCGGGTCAGCCCTCGTGACCCGTCGCCGAGCCCCGGGAGACGCGGTTGTTGCCGCGTGGCGGCGCGGCGGCACGGGGCGCTGAGTAGCCAAGCCAATGACACGAAACATCCCACTTCGCGGCGCACATGCGCCGCCGCGCGCGATACCAACACACCCAAAAAGGAGCGGACGCTTGAACGGAGCCAGGCTCGCCGGTCATGTGGTCTGTGCTTTTGAGGGTGCTTTTTGTTTTGGTTGGTGGAATCCAAAAGGGAAGACCACCAACAAATCAAAAGAGAAGAGCAAGTCTGGCAGGGCTCAGCTCCAATTTCCCCTTTGCTAGCTTCTGACACCATTGCTTTGATCTTGTTTGGAACGGCCTCCTTCTTTGCACTCTTCCGAGCGTACGTAGACTTGACTTTTGGAGTTTGGAAGGATTCATGGCATATCCCATTAAGCGTCTAAAACTTTCGGCAAGGTATGAAGGAATCACACAGTCTTGGCGGGGGGATGCTTGGGCAATGAATTCCGTTTTTGGGCCGAGCTCACTTCCCGACTTTGAGATTTGATTCGCTTCCTGTCCACTAACATGGATCCTGACGGACGGGTCCTGGAAGACGATTTTCCTTTAAAAGGGACCCTCTGGTGGGTTCCCTGTTAGTGGACAGGAGGGTAAAGCATGGTAAAGCCAAACAAGTGTGAGCGAGACGGTACTCGGGATGCCCTTAATTTCGAATGAACCCTCCCAAGGAATCGTTGCGCACGGAGTCGGTCCTCCTCGCAACAGCGCCAGATTAATTTGAGGTTGACATGAGCTCCAATCTTTGTCTCATAGTCTTTTTGCATCATCCGTGCGACACCAGGTGTGTTCACAATGGCGCATCCCTGTTTAGGCGGATGTGTCTCATCTGAGAGTACCCGTGTTGTCGTTTGACGAGACCAAAAAGGGAAGCCAGAAAGCCATTGGGGTTCATCTCCTACGGGACGCATCAGGGCTCCCGAGATTTCACCCTTGAACCAGGGTGATGTTTAAAACAAGAGGAAGACACGGCAAACGAGTCAAACGAGTGCAGGCGAACCTGCAGCCGGTGATTTGGAGCACCCAAGACTTTCCCCAAGGGAAAAGTCAGAGTCTACCATGGGCCAAACTTACGCGTGTCTTGGTGACCTGGAACCCAGATGGTTTCTGATTTCAGGAGCCGGTCAGATTCCGTTTCAGCTGGTGGGAGGTGACGCTTTGAATCTTCTGGAAATGGTGCTTATTTCGAGTGTGTGTGTTTGTATATATATATATATATATGCATGTATGTATGTGTATATATATATATACACATACATCCGGTATCATTTCGACTGCTTGCCAAGTTGGTTTGACACACACACACACAGAGGCAATCACCCAACAAAGAAAGATACGTTTTGCAAGGAGTCAACCATCCAGCTTGCTTGAACATGGGATCGTGTCTTTGAGGGTACCAATTTTCGGGGTTGGATTGAAGTGAAAGTGTGAAACCAAATGGATCCAAAGGGAAACCACCCATTTTGGCGGGTCCCCAATTTGACACATTCCCGTATCCCGAAGTTGGTTCAGCTGCTTGTGCCACACTTGTCATCGCAGCTTTCTCCTGGCGACATTGGCCTGCATGGAATTGCCGGGAGATTTGCGATCAGCCATGCAACAACGGATCGGAGCAGACGAAACTCGAGTCTCCTCAGAGCAAAGAGGTCTAATTGGGAGTGCCCCATTTTAGTGGACCCCCCAAATGGGTGGTTTTGCTTTCCTTGTAGAACCAACAAGGGGTTTCCCTCCAAAAAGAGACCCAAACCACAGTATCGAGCGCACGCCTTGTACTCTTTGATCCATCACGGTGGATTCCCTCTAAACCTTGCAAGTAGGCAACAAGGACAATGCCGGATGTTGCCAAGCGGTTGGCGTTTGTCTACTGGCTTCATATTCCAAGGAAACCAAATCACGAGTGGAGCTAGACCTTTGTAGAAAGTTCGCCCTTTCAAAACCTTTGGACTTTTTGACAAAGTGGATTTTGCCGCTTTGGGCTTCTTTCATTTAGCCTTCTCACCAACAAGTTCTCGCCAAGCTCTTGGTGGCCTTTATATCCCATCAACTCAGGAAACCCAAGAGATGGATGGAGCTTTTCCCTTTGCCCCATAAGCCCTGTTCAGCCGGAAGGTTCTTCACAAACTTGATCATTCCGGACTGTTTCTTTTAATTGTCCAGACTTCGTTTAAATCAGACCGATTGCAAAGTTGGTAAAAGTCCCTCTTGGAGGTATGAAACCCAAACTGGGTATTTTCGCACCGAGAATACGGCCATGGCAACCGCATCGCACCTTCTGCCAGCACTTTCTGAGAGGCGCAATACCGACCGCGCGAATCGTTTTGCGTCAGCGATGCAAGGGATCTGGGTGTTTCTCAAGGGCACTTCCAGAAACGGTTTGCTTGTGGCTTTCCTTTAAAGGCCATCCAGAAAGGACAGAGGAGTCCACCGTTTCGAGATATACCTGCTGCGTCTTTGCGGGGTCTATTATCGATGTTCCTGTACTTACACGCAAACCATTGTAGGTAACCCGGGAAACGGTCATGTAAAACTTGAGTAGACATACCTACCTACTATAGTGGTAGTTGGAAAAAATGGTGTGTGTGTGTGTGTGCGCGCGTAGATGCGCATCTGAGATGAGTGGCCTCTCCAACCAAGTGAGCACCCTGTCGGCCACTAGATTTGCAGCTTCTTGCCAGTAAGCGTGACCTGCATCCAGCGGTGAGCCTCAGATGAGTGAGCCTTAGGAACGGAGGCTTGCGTCCCCCCAAAGTGATCCAGATTCCCTCTCAGATTGGACACCGTCCGTTAACCAGGTATCAAGCCTGGGTCCGCATTGGAATGAGCATGCAGCGCGCGACAGGCCATTTGACTCAGTCTACCTATTCCACGAACAATGTCACCGATCTGGGAAATAAACGAGCGAAAACCCATGAAGGTCCTTTGCTTGGGGATTCTCTCAGGTTTTGGAAGTGCAGAATCCCCCAGGCAGTGATGCCCGCCAAAGGGTGCCCAGGCCCCAGTCAAGACAAATACCCAATTCCTGACCGCTTCGAGTTTTTCGAAGGCAGCCCGCACGCGGAAGAACACCGGGGGGGACACTTTGATACGTGCTGCTATGCCATCAGCATGCTTCTGAAGTGATACAGGCCGCCTAGGTGGTTTCCCCTTAGGTCCCTCATATGGTTGCTAAGTGTGTTTTGTTCACGTGTTGTTTCTTCATATGGCAAAACGGCCGAATGGCCGTTTGGCTCAAGTTTTCAACCCCCCGTCAGTTTAGCTCTGGCACCACGTGCGGACGCCATACAACGGCAGCCGCCCACATCACCGGGAAAAGGTCTCGGTGCTGGGGGCAGCTGGTTGTGGGAGGTATCCGGTGGTGCGGCAGGGTTTGCTGGGCTTGGTTGAGTACTTATACTTCTTCAACTTGATTCCCAACTTCCCCAAACTTCTCTTTACCAACCGTCACTTCCTCAACCCGGTCATCATCCACAGCTTCACCCGAGTTGTGATTCCGGGTGCTTTGGGTACATTGTGATCTTCTTTGTACTCATTTGCTTCCCTGGGCTACTTCGTGTTCGCCCAAAACCGCAGGTTATCAGCCGTACCAGCTAGAAGCTGGGGCTGGTGATCCGGTTGCGGGACGTGACCCGCTACCTGCTCCCATCGCCTACTTGTACGAGCAATGGCGTCCCCCGGAGCTTCACATCGTGGGCCGGGCTTCGTGGACGACGAGGCCAACGCCCTTCGCGGCAACGCCGCGCCTGCTGCCCCCGGCTTAGACAGCCGGCTGTGGCCCATTCCCCCGATGGTGGGCGCAGAGCCCAATCCCGGGGTGATCACGGACGATTGGATCCTTTCTCAGGTCGTGTTTGATGAGGATGCGGAGGCCCCTATCCCGGCGGCAGTGCTTCAGATCGAGGACGGACCCCCTCTAGAAGAGGCTGAGGTTCCTCCAAATCAGGTGCCCTCATCGATTTCGCCTACTGTTCCGTTCGTGGCGCTCCAGATCGAGGACCGGGCTGTCCATCATGCTGCTCATCCGGAGCCGGCTCAATCATGGTCCCTTACATGGGATCAGTTTGACCAGCTCCTCGGCAGTGGATCGCAGGCTACACCGCCTGATTTCGGTCGGCTCGACTTTAACTCGGGTGCCCCCATATCGGTTGGGAATCTGGATTTTCAATCCCTTTTTGATGCTGATTGGAGGTCTCAGCCTTCCCGAATTGACAGATCTTTTGATGCCCTGCCTACGCATGAGCCTACTCAGGGTTTTCCTCATGATGGAGAAAATGACCCCATTGAAGATTTCTCCCCTTCTCATGTTGCAGGTTCGGCCCAACCCGAGGTGGGCAAACGGGCGATTGAGGATTGGCCGCAAATAGCTGGCCTTCCTCCCGTCTCAGGTTCATCCGACATTGACATCATTCACGATCACCCCAGTCCGGCGGATATGGACTTCATCCCTGATGCAGTATCATCTCACCTGTCAGGTACCCGCGACCGGAATGCGGACCGCTACAACGCTGGTCCGAATCCACCGCTTTCCTCAGGTACCCGAGGTCGGGATGCGAACCGCTACAACGCGGGCTCAAATCCGCCAAATCGGGCATCAGGTACTAATCGATCGGACGCGGGCCGCGAAACAGCAGGCCCAAATCCTTCCTCCACTTCGTCAAGAAGCCATGCCGGTCTCTTCGCGGCGTTCAATCGGCGTCAGACTCGAAAAGAGTCCGCCCCCGACGTCATCGACCTCGAGGAGCAGTCCAGCCACCGTACCAGCGATGGATCCGAGCAGGATACACCTGGTATTGGCTCTACTCCCTTCGACCTCCTCGACATCCCCTTCCATCAGCCACCCAGGAGAGGAAATGAAGATGATGAAACCATCCCTGGGATCCTTGATGTAATCGATGAGGCCGAGGTCACACCAGAGAGACGAACGACATCGCTCCCGCCGAGCCGCGTTGCCAAAGTACTTTCCCCTAAGCCACTCAATGGTGACGTTGCTCAACGGCTTGATCTCACTCAACCTGATCCAGATCAAGCTCAACTTCGCGGATTATCATCATTTGATAACGTGTCGGGACAAACCGGCACTGACTCACGAGCCACAAAGAGGAGCTCTGAGTCACCCGAGAGACGTGAAGCTGCTCTGCGATTGCGATCTAATCCCCCAGCTCATCACGATCCTGTTGACGTTCCTATCCACTCTGCGGGGTCTGGGCTCAGCTCCAATGCCCCGATGTCTGAGAAGGAGACTGATGACGGGATCAACTCCACGCCCAGGAACCGGAGACCTGGGCTTAGCACTGTTGCCCCTGGAAATGGAGGGCTTCCATCAAATCAACCGGTCAACAACCCCCTCATCCCCGCATTCTTTCAAATCGGAACTCCGGGCTGCACTCCCGACAGGGAAGAAAATAGGCGCGGAGATCATGACGCCGATAGCCGTCCTGCTCCGTCTGCTTCCACAAGTGGCGGCCATCCGGTTGCATCTGAGCTTCAACGACTGCTTCTCGCGATCCACAACGAGATCAAGGGATGCAAGGCCGAAATCCAGGGATGCAGAACTGAGATTCGTTCATGCAGGGATGATATCAACGCTTGCGTCGGTGAAATCAAGAAGATCAATAACCGTGTTGACGCCTTCGAGAAGAAGGTTGAATCATCTTTCTCTGCCGTTGCCGGAACCCTCTCAAAACACGAGGCCAAGTTCCGTGATTTCCACGAGTGGGTCGCCCGAAGCGAGAAGGAGATGAATGAGCGTTTCAAGATGTATGATGAGAGGTCTGACTCAATCGTCATATCCGCTGCTGAACTTCGCGAGCAGGCCGAATCACTTGAGAACGTCAAGGTCCAGCTCCTTAGGTTCTCTGAGATCGGGGCCCTTGAGGCTGAGGTTCGAAAAATCACGGACGAAGTTGAGGCGAACTCCCGCAGTGTCATCGACATTGAGGGAACCATCTCAAGGGAAAGAACCATCCGTGGGAACGTCGAGACGTATATCCAGCAGCTCGTTCCTGCGACCGACCTGAAGCAGTTCAGTGATAGGATGTCCGGGGCCCTCAATGAGAACTCACAGAAACAGGAAGAGTTCAAGATTCAATTGTCCCGTATTGCTAGGTGCGTCAAGGGCCTTCATGACAAAAGCTTAGGTCCCAATCCGAGGGACATGCAAGAGCAGTTTATGAAGCTTGTGCTGAGGGTCAATGAGATCAACATGCAGATCGCTGAATTGAGGGAACAACCTCTTGCTGCCTGCGGATCTTCAAGTGCTGGCGCTGCTTCGATCGCCGGGACGGGGCCATGGGAGAAATCTGGAGACACTGATCCCTTAACCCAGGGAAGGGCTCCTAGAGGTTCTCCTCCTCGTGATGCTCGCATCGTCAGCTCGACGAGACCTCCTCCACCTCCACCTCCTTCAGGGCCACCTCCACCGTCACCATCAGCCCCCATCTTTGGCAGGGATCCCTCTAGAACGAGGGCCATTGCTCGGGCTGCCGGCGCTGCCCCTGATGACCGGGCCAGGTGTGCTCATGAGGCATCCACAGCATCGGGAACCTCGCTATCCATGCCGAAGCTGCGGCAAGTCAGTCTGCGAAGACTGCTTTGACCATGATTGTAACGCATGTTTCAAATGCAGCGATCAGTTTCCTAGATGCCGCGCATGCAGAGGAAGAGGGGGGAGACACGGGCTTGTGACGTGTCTCATATGCAAGGACGAGTACTGCGATCAACACATCGCTTCACCTGACGATGTGCGCCGTTTTGGGTCGAATGTTCGACCTATTTGCCTCGGTTGTCTGAGAGCTGATCCCGACGGAAAAACTAAGCATCGCGGTCCCAGCGCGGGACCTGGAGGACCTGATTGCATTCCTGACCAAAATCAGCGGGATGGCACTGCTCCTGATCCTGGATCCGGGCCATCACGTGGAGATCCGTCACATCGGAGTCCTGAACCGCATCAAGGGAACTCTGGTTTCTGCTCTCACGCCGGAGCTGCCGGGCCAATGCCGCCAAGGGCAATGTCTTCGCCCGTAGTCGGGCGAGCAGTTCCGAGGGGGACCATCAACACGTATCCCGGATGTTCCCCTACAGGGGGGATTTTCACTGGTCAGGTTGAGCATGGAACATCTCAGGGAGTCATTCGCGGAAGATACGGGCCTGACACTGCTGTGACAAATCAGCAGAATCCACAGCCTCACCACGGAGTACAGGATAACTCTGGCGGGCCAGCTGGTTTCTCTCTTCCACCGGGGCTCGGTAAGGGTGTGCATGGCGCCAGTGGCGTCGGCGGTATTGGAGCTCCCGAC